GTGTGGGAGTGAGAGTGGGCTCACTCGTGTGGGAGGAGAGTGGCATGAGCTCGTGGTTGGGAGGAAAGTGCTGATTGCGTGTGGAAGGAGAGTGGTTGACTCGTGTGGCGGAGAGTGGCTGACATCGTGTGGGAGGAGAAGTGGCTGACTCGTGGTGGGAGGAAGAGTGGTTGACTCGTGGGTTGGAGGAGAGTGGCTGATTGCGTGAATGGAGGAGAGTGGGTTTGACTCGTGGTGCGGAGAGAGTGGTTGACCTCGTGGTGGGGAGAGAGGTGGCTGACTTCGTAAGTGGGTAGGAGAGTGGCTGATTCGTGATAGGAAGAGAGTGCGTGACGTCGTGGTGGGAGAAGAGTGGATTGACTCATTTGTGGGAGGGAGAGTGGTTGACATCGTGAGTGGGAGGAGAGTGGTTGACTCGTGTGGAGGAGAGTGGCCGACATCGTGGCTGGGAGGAGAGTGGCTGACTCGTGGTGGGAGAGAGAGTGGCTTGACTGCGTGTGAGAGGGAGAAGTGGTTTGACTCGTAGTGGGAGGAGATGTGTTTGACATGCGTAGTGGGAGGAGAGTGTTGACTCGTAGTGGGAGGAGAGTGGATTTGACTGAGCGTGGTGGGACACAGAGTGGCTGACTGCGTAGTGGGAGGAGAGTGTTGACGCCGTGGTGGGGGAGAAGTGGTTGACCTCATGTCGGCAGGAGAGTGGTGTTGACTCGTGTTGGGAGGAGAGTGGTTGACTGCGTGTGGGAGGGAGTGGAGCTTGCTCGTGTGGGAGGAGATGGTTGATCGTGGTGGGAGGAGAGTGCTACTGCGTGTGTGGAAGAGAGTGGCTTGACTAGAAGTGGTGGGAGGAGAAGTGGTTGAGCTCCGTGGTGGACAGAGAGTGGTTGACTCGTGCTGGGAGGAGAGTGTTGACTTCTGGTGGATAGATGAATGTATGACGTGATTTGAATGAGTGAACATTGTGTAGTTGATTGTGCATCACCCATAGATTTTTCAATGCAGCTTTCAGTTTTGTACATTTCTATGCAGAACAATGAAGGTCTTGCTGATGCCACCATTGATCTTGACAAAGTCGCAGTCAAAGATGAAGATGTCATTGAAGGCGAAGGAGGAAAAGAAGTGGAAGCAACCAGCGAACCACTTGTGGAGAAACAAGTGGTAGAAGGGAATGGTGGAAATGGTGAAGAGCAGGATAATCAGGTTGCAGGCGACAAAGCAGAGGATAACTCCAGCAAGAAGGTTGGCCGGGAAGAAAGCTTGCTGACAGAGGTGTTGCAAGAGATTGTTGGTGCAACAGATGATGGTGAAACAGATAAAAAAGGCATTGCAAAAGATTCTGCCCCAGATGCAACCCTTACCAAGGAGTCAGCTGACCTGGAAATGAGCAGTCAGGCGGAAGATGGTGAAGAAGAGGAGGTGCTTGGTGAAAAGAAGGACACTGAAGTAACAGATGCAGAGGAAATGGAGTATGTAAAGGTAGACTACTCTGAAGGCTCAGATGCCGGCGATGTAAGCAAAGATATCAGCTCTAATGAAGACAAGCCAGGAAATATCGCTAAATCGGAAATGCCAGAAGAAGTGCTACTTGAAGACCTGGTGCCTAGTAGCAAAGACAACAGCACCGAGACTGGCATTCACACAGCAAATGCAACCATCGCCGAGGTAAAACAAGTAATGTATTGCATACTTATAGCCGCAACTATATTGCCTTATCTTGAAACATTAAATTATACTGGGTGTGATAATTATACATTATAATACATTATACATATAATTGTGCATTTAAGTTTTAGTTCAAAGCTTGTTTGTTTAGAAATAATTCTTTATTCTCATTTTATATTCCTTTTATGGGGGCGGTCCTTGTCTTTATATTCTTACTGAGATCAGACTGGTCATGTGTGCGAATTCAGAATCATTAACTTAGTTGCCCCCTGTGCAAGACCGGCCATCAAAAAACGAGTTCGAAATTCGAATAATACATTCACACAGAGAAAACACTTTGTTTGCGACATACAGGGAGTGACATCGTCAGCCTATCCACGGCTCTCATCTACTGACATTGACGTCATTGGTCTGCACTATGATGTCATAGTTGTGGGGTCAGGCTACGGTGGAGGAGTTGCTGCAAGCAGGGCAGCTCGTGCGGGCAAGAAAGTGCTGGTGCTCGAAAAAGGTATGACAGTATAGTATAGATATAGGTCAGAGTCGATTCGTCACAGGTAGTGGGTGTGACATTCGCAACTCCCCATGCTGGTTGTAGTAGAACACTTCCTAGAGCTGGTCTTTCTACTTGAAAATACTTTGTTGAGTTCTGTACTCAGTTTTCACGTGCAGGTAAGGAATGGAGACCCGGAGATTTCCCCGAGGAGTCGATAGCTGCAGCCCGACAAGTCTGTTTGAAGCAGGAGGGGTCGAAGTCGCATGGTGGGGGGCGTGAACTCTTCAACTTTGTCGTCAGCCGTGACCTGACAGTCCTACGCGGCTGTGGCCTTGGAGGAACTTCTCTCATTAATGCCAACGTGGGGTTGGACCTGCACACCGATGTGTGGGATGATGGGGCGTGGCCCACCCAGTTCACGGAGGATCTCGCAACATATAGAAAGGTGAGATTGATGGTCACTTGTCATCCGTAATCGCATTGATGCTATAGTGCTCGTTAGTGACTTGTGCAACTCATTTCATGGTAAGTTAGTAGTGAGGGTTGGGTGTGACGGTTTTTCTGCTTCTACACTTGCAGGTGGATCTTAGTCATGCACAGGAAATGCTGACACCGAGTCCATACCCAAATGAACTACAAAAAATTACGCAAATGAGGAAAGTCGCTAGAGCACTCTCAGATGTTGAAGACCTGGACAAAGTTAGTGTTTACACACTTACAGTTCACTGTGGTTCCTATACATGGCTGTGTTCCATTACCATGTAATATATTACGTGCCCGTTTTCTCAGTAGTTACGTGAATCTCAAAGAGTATCTTAAAAATAGTTGTCTTTTTTAGATTTTCTACCGACCACCTCTGTTCGTCAATTTTGAGACGACAGCAAACAACGGCTTTGGCCTGCCGCAGCCAGCCTGCGTGGAATGTGGAAACTGCTGTGGAGGTTGCAACACTGGCGCCAAAAGTACGGTTGCTATGAACTACTTGCCTGATGCCAAGATGCATGGTGCCCACATCTTCACAGAGGTGAGAGAGTAATATCTGTGTTTAGCTTAGAATATAGAAACAGGATGACAGCAGTGGCTGAGGTGGTACCACAGCGTTTGCAAAATGACAGAGTCGTGTTGGTTGGGTTGCAAGAAAAATAAGAATTTTGATTAGCGAAGATTGTTTTCATATTTAATATTTAGCACAGGTATTGAAACCATGTAAAGCCTTATTGTAATTATTATTATTTCTGGTAAGTATCTTAATCTAATCTGAAGTCGACATTAAGACCTTTCCAAGCATGTAGGGGGAGACGCGGCATGCACGTGCATGTTGTCTGCATGCATGCATGCGTGCAGGTGTGTGTGTGTGTGTGTATATTTAGCTTCTGATTCTCACTCCAAAATGATCCATCATATCGAATTTAAGTACATATACCTGTGTGAACAAAATCATGTTTGCGTGTGTTATTTTACTGACAACGGAGGAAAGTCATTCAGCACCTGATCCGTGTGCCGGCTCCACAGGTCTCCGTGCACCGGCTTTCGTGCGGGGGGAGTCCTGGCAATGACGGCCCGTGGCTGGTGCACTACAGTACGGGCGACAATGACGACGACACGCTGGCGGGCGTGCACCGCTTCGTGACGGCTGACGTCGTCGTCGTTGCAGCGGGGGCGCTCGGCTCGACCGAGATTCTGCTGCGCTCGCGCGAGGCGGGGCTGCCGCTCTCCGACACCGTAGGGCAGGGCTTCAGTGGCAACGGCGACCAGGTGGGGATCAGCGCCATGAACGATGAGGTAGGCGGCGAAACCAAGCGGCTGCATCGTGTCGACACTCGTGCGGCGTCGAATAGTAGATTAGTACATGTCCTTGTACTGACATCGGGGTAATTCAGTTTTGTCCAACATGCGTGTCTGTCCATGTCCATGCAACCAGTTTTGTCCAACATGCATGTTTGTTCATGTCCATGCAACCAGTTTTGTCCATGTCCATGCAACCAGTTTTGTCCATTTAGAGGCACGTTGCTACTCGGTGTGCATAGCCACAGCTGGTGCAGTTTCTTTACGTGTTTGGTCACATGAGGTGCTGTCATTGTGTGTGCGCATCGCCACAAGAGTTGCTCTTACTTGGGGTGTGTGTCCACATATGGAAGATGCTATTACTGGATGCGCGTGGGATGTGTCTACATAAGGTGCTATTTCTTCGTGTGTGTGTTCCACGTAATAAAGTGTCACAGTGTTTGTAGCCATAGAATGTGATGTAATTAGATGTGGTTAATCATAAGAGACAATGGCACTTGGGGTGTACTTGTAGGAAGCAATATCGATGGGCGTGCCGACAGACGATGCACAGAAGGGGGTCGTCAGAAAGCCTGGCCCCTGCATCACGACCATTGTAGACATGAGGGACAAGACGCCCTTCAAACATGGTTACGTCCTTGAGGATGGCACCCCGCCAGTCTCCATGGCAACACTATACCGGGTCCGTTTATAAGTATTGATGTTGGGTTTTGTGGGGAATTCCTGCACAGTTCAACAATATTATATTAATTACTCGCAAAATACACTCACTGAAAATATATGCGCATGTGGGGGGTGTAAGGATAGATGGATAGATATATATGCATGCATGGATAGATGTTTACATATACAAGATGAAGTCGTTTAGAAGAATGTTTGAAATGAGCTGACATTCAACATGAACTGCTGTATTTAAACAATCGGTGATCACTTCATCTCTCTTCTCATTTCTTGCCCAATCTCACTTTTACTTCAGTTTGCCTGTTTTCCATCCGTCAATGATGTTCTACATGTTCGATTTCCATTATCTATACAGGCTATGCTGCATCTGCTGTATGGGACAGCTTCGATAGATGATGACCCATCAGATGACTGGAGGCAGTTTTCTGATATGGTTAAGGTATTTTAAAACCTAACCTAACATTAATAATCATGTCATTGCATGCATTTGGCGTTTGTCACTTGCTGCAAAATGTGACAGCATATGGGTAATTATTGTAAAACATATAAAATTAGATAAAATTATAAATTGAAAATTTACATACTAATAAATTAATTCCTTCCACTTTTAACTTAATTTCTGTTTGCATTTTCATTCCACATTTGTCTAATAACCAGAACATTTATATCGTGTTCATTATAAGCATAAAAATCGCATGATGAGTGACTTTTAGTAATTGGTTCTGTGCTTTCCAATCTATAGGGTGAGACTGTGGACAAGTCGTTGGCTCTGTTAGCAATGAGCCATGATGACCTAGTTGATGAAGATGGTGGTGACAAGACTGGAACCATAAAGCTGGATGAAGATGGTGTGAAGATAGAGTGGCATCTGGTGGCAGAGAACGCAAACTTTGATCAGATTCAATCAGCTTTTCGGAGTGCCGCTAAAGCACTGGGTGGCAGGTAACCATGTAAATACAGTTGAATACTGCTCATGACACACTGGCTTAAATACATGCAACTTTTAATACATATACTCCATAGAATACAGACTAAATGTTTCTTGGAACACCTTACTACTAGTATCTAACTACTTGCAATATAACTACTGCACACTGAAATACCAAAGAATGCCTTATCATAAAATCATTGTGTTACCTACCATACCTGTTAATACTTGAACTCAATATATTGTCTGCCTACATCTGTCGGTTTCATGTGAAGGTACGTGGAGAATCCCGTTTATTCGGAAAAGCTGTTCTCTTGGTTCCACGACAGACGCCAGGTTGTCACTGTACACCCGTTAGGTGGTTGCAATATGGCAGAGAGTGGACAGACAGGTGTTGTCAATCACAAGGGACAAGTGTTTTCTGGTGAGTCACTCTAGCGGGTGGTGCAATAAAATCCTAAAAGGCAGTTTCAAAAAGTGTAAAACATTTCTATGAAACTTCTATGATGTCTACGTATTTTCCCCCCTAGTGTATCATCGTTGTGTGTTATGATGCTCGCACGCTGCATTGTCACAGGTAATTCCGAGGATGTCCACCAGGGCCTCTACGTAATGGACGGATCGATCCTTCCGAGGGCCGTTGGTGTCAACCCATCGCTGACAATTACCGCTGTCTCCGAGCGCTGCATGCGCCTGCTGGCAGACGACCATGCCTGGAAGATCAACTACAACATGAGCCCGCCACCTGGTGACTATTACGATTTAGAATTACTAGGAAAGCATTTTACTTCTGAAGCATGATTTCTATGGTAGATCGACAAGGCAACACGCATGATCGTTACTGTAGAAGCATCAACTCTTTGCTATCTTTCGACACGATTCTAAACCAAATTTGCAGAATTGCTGCGTGATCCACTGTCAAAGCCGGCACTGCGCGTCTACGAACGCATGACCGGACGCATGGAGTCACAGGGTGGGCCTCTCTATATGGAGTTAAAGCAGTTCCTATTTATTCCTGACCTGGAGTACTTCCTGGAGACGGACCCCACACACCGGGTACTCGTCACGGGCGTGGTCGTCTGTGAGCAACTGTGTGCCGAGCCAATGACTATCACAGGTGTGCATATCACACGCCCACCCAGACACTGCTCATTCACTCTCTCATTCAGTTGGTCACTCACTCAGTTACTCTGTGCCTCACTTATAATCACTCATTCACACTTACTGATTCACTCCCTCACACTCACTCACTCACTCATTCACTCACTCACACTCACTCACTCACTCACTCACTCACTCACTCACTTATTCACTCACTCACTCACACTCACTCACTCACTCACTCACTCACTCACTCATTCACTCACTCACTCACTCACTCACTCACTCACTCATTCACTCGCTCACACTAACTCACTCACTCACTCGCTCACTCATTTACTCACTCACTCACTCAATCGCTCACTCATTCACTCACTCACTTACCCACTCACTCACACACACTCACTCACTCATTCACCCACTCACCCACTCATCACTCACTTACTCACTCACTCACTCACTTAATACTCACGCACTCACTCACTCTCTCACTCACTCACTCACTCACTCACTCTCTCACTCACTCACTTAATACTCACGAACTCACTCCCTAACTCACAACTCACTACACATGCTTACTCGCGCTCTCACTTGTTGCATTATCACAGGCTATGCAGAGATCTTCCGTCAAGATGTGGGACCTGAGGGCACAGTCGAAACGAAGAATCTTTTTTATAGCCTGGAGTTTGTAAGACCAGGTGATGTCCAAACAAAACTACACTTCACTGGCACCAAGACAGCGCATAAGAATAGCATCCTTGATCTAGGCTACAGTGACACTACAACCATGCAGGCAACAGGTACATAGCATATATTTGTTTATTCATTCATCTTTCAGTTATTGAGATTTAATTGTCTGAGGGAGTGTTGTTAAGCAGAAACCTATGGAGAGTGGTTCTCGATAGGCAGTCTCAGATTACCAAATGACGGAGGCAGTCCAATAATGGCTGGCTGTATGCTCAGATTAACAGCTCTACTGTCAAGCTGTAGTACCATTTTTCTTATCCATTTGCTTATAGCAAATGTGAAATTAGAACTCGTCACTCACACCACATACACACGGGTGTTGTACATAGGCCTACATTGTCGAATCACTATAGTATCGCAACGCCAATATATTTCCTAATGATCACGTTGCAATCTTTTATGGTTTGCCACAATCAACAATTGGAATGGGTAATTCATTATGAGGTTACTGGTAATATGCAGAACATCTCCATCTTGTTTTCAGTGAGGGAGGCTGGTGCGATACTAGCCACGGGAGAGCTGCATATCAGCCTGCGTGACATTGTCAACGCTGTGGACAACACTGAGGTGCTTAATGTGCAGGACTGGAAACAGCAGGCTAGCTGGAGGATGCGCTTCTACGAACACTTTCTCGGCAACATCTGGGAGACTTACAGTCCACTTGCTGGACCCACAATGTAAGGGCGCTGGCGTCTCACCGACACACGTGCCAGCCTCTGCCCTCATATACACAAACACATGAATGCATGAAATCATTCGCGTAGTCACGCGTATTTGCTTGATCACTTGCTCGCTCACTCAGTCACTCGATCACTTGCTCGCTCATTTGCTTACTCAGTTGCTCACCCACCCACCAACTCACTGTAGTGACGCACCTGTGTTACTGATTTAGCATGTTACCATGTTGCTGACAACAAAAACTTTCCCTACTGCCTGTCCTCTGAACAACTGGTGACTCACTATCTTGCATATAGGTTTGACCCCACGGCACCAGCGCGCCAGAAGCGCAAACTGCGACTCCCAGCCGAGGCACTGCCAGTCATTTACCCAGTGGCGACCTCTGACGGGAAGACGTTACGGTTGACTCGCTACCAAGGTGGCACTCGTGGCCCGGTGTTAATGCTGCATGGTCTTGGTGTGTCATATGGCATCTTCACCCTCGACACTGTGGAGACCAGTCTGGTAAAGCACCCACTTACTATTGGGGAAGTTAGTTGTAGCTTGAGAGCTGCGTGGTCATCTGAGCAGTTATATATGTATTGGCAGAATGATGAGGGAAGGTGAGATTTGGATGAGTGGGATGGTAAAAACGAGCGAGTGCCGAATATTTTTTCGTCAGAGGGTCTGAAAAGTATTCGTGTCAACATGTTTCACATTCACTGCTATTCTGTCAGATGAATACGATAATATTTTAGAAAAACTCGAAATTATGAGAAAGAGCGTTTACGTGGGGAAACTCTGGCGACCTGTAGGTGGTCAGTGTATAAACTGACTTCCACATGAACGCTACTCAGCTCAGTAATCAGCAACATTCACTGAGGCTGCGTAGATTCCAAACGAACGGACTAACGACGAAGTTGTTACAAATAAAAACACGAGATCAGACCTAAAACAAACCCAAAACGTGTTGCCTATGTCTACTGCAAGTACTTTAACTTGTGGCCATTTCGCATACCACAACTTATGTATCCATAACGTCACACAACTGTAATTAGACCGGCCTGCACGGTTGCAGTGTGTACACATCCAGTGATTTGAGTTTACCTGTCGTTGACCATTTATCAAGAGTGCTCATCAATGGAGTGACTTAGTGACTTGCGGGTAGATATATTTACTTGTAATACATTGTACCATAACCCTTATTAATCTGATATCACATTAATAGAGTGTCGCTTTGCTAGATATGGTCTGATAGTTGCTGCTCTGTAGGTGGAGTACATGGTGGAGCATGGCTACGACGTGTGGCTGTTCGACTGGCGCGTGTCCATTCGCCTTCCCTACGCTGAAGAAATGTCGACCGTTGACGACACTGCCCAGTTCGACATCCCGGCTGCCGTCCAGTTAGTCAGAGACCAGACAGGGGCTAAAGATGTGGAGGTGCGATTACATGTTCAGCAGTGCGATTACATGTTCAGCTGTACGATTACATGTTCAGCAGTTCGATTACATGTTTAGCAGTGCGATTACATGTTTATGCAGTGCGATACTGCGATTACATGCTTCAGCAGTGCGAACATGCTTCAAGCGTCATGTGTGATTACTCATGTTCAGCAGTGTGATTAACTGTTCAGCAGTTGGATTACATGCTTCAGCGTGTGATTACATGTTGAGACAAGTGCATTACATGTTGGCAGCAGTTGCGATTACAAGTTCGAGGAGTGCATTCATGCTTCAGCCAGTGCGATTAAAATCGTCAGTAGTCGATTTACATCTTCAGCAGTGTGCATTACATGCTGCCAGTAGTGCGATTACATTTCAGCTCAGTGCCGATTACATGGGCCACGCAGTTGCGATTTACATGTTCAGCAGTGCGTTACATCTTCAGCATGTGCCGATACATGTTGCAGTGCGTTATCATGTGCAGCAGTGCGTTACATGCTTCAAGCCAGTGCATTAACATGTTCAGCAGTGCGATTACATGTGACAGCCAGTGCGATTAACATGTGCAGCAGTTTATTTCATTTCGCGCAGTGCGGATTACATTGGCCAGCAGTGCGACTTACATGTTCAGCAGTAGATTACATGTTCCCAGCATAGCGATTAACATGCATTCGACGTGCGATTACATGTTCAGCAGTTTGCCGCATTACATGTCAGCAGGTGCGATTACAATGTGCAGCAGTTGCCAGATTATCATGTCCAGCAGGTCACTTACATGCTTTCAGCAGTCGCATTTACATTGCTGCAGCCCAGTGCGATACATGTCGCACCAGTTGTGAATTACAATGTTCAGCAGCTGCGATTCACATGTTGCAGTCAGTGTATTACAATTCAGCAGTCGATTACATGTGCGAGCAGGCATTACATGCTTTCGACCAGTCGATTTCACATGTCAGCAGTGCATTACATGTGCATGCAGTGCCGATTACATGTTAGCCAGTGTGATTCACTGCTCAGCAGTGCGATTACATGTGCAAAGCAGGTGCGAATTACATTTCAGCAGTGCCGTTACTTTTTTTTTCCCCCCCATGTTCCAGCCAGTGGTGAATTACATGTTTCAGCAGTGCGAACATGTGCCAGCAGTGCGATTACATATCATCATGCGATTACATGTTCAGCAGTGCGATTACATGTTCAGCAGTGCGATTACTGTTCAGCGCAGTCGAATGAACATGTGCAGCAGTGCATTACAGGTCAGCAGTGCCGATTACATGTCTCCAGCAGTCGCATTACATGTTTCAGCAGTGCGATTAATGTCAGCAGTGCGATTACATGTGCCAGGCAGTGCGATTACATGTTCATCCAGTGTGATTTTACAATGTTCAGCAGGCACTTACATGTTCAGCAGTGCGATTACATGTGCAGCAGTGTGATTACATGTGCAGCAGTGTGATTACATGTGCAGCAGTGCGATTACATGTTCAGCAGTGCGATTACATGTTCAGCAGTGCGATTACATGTGCAGCAGTGTGATTACATGTTCAGCAGTGCGATTACATGTGCAGCAGTGCGATTACATGTTCAGCAGTGCGATTACATGTTCGGCAGTGCGATTACATGTTCGGCAGTGTGATAAAGAGGCTCACTGTTAATGTTGTTGATTCGTTTGCCAGTCGACTTATTCACGAGACTAATGTTTCAGTATATAGGTTTTGCAGGTATTTTAGGTTTCTTACATTTATATATGTATAATGTTACATTATTATGTATTTATTTTTGTATATTATTTTTAAAATGCAGTGATTTAATTCTACCAAATGCATGTTTTTATCATTGTTCATTCTATCATTGCAAAAAATATCAGTCACACTAAACTACTAATAATATTTCTTATTATCATGATTCCTTTTATTGTTAGTATTACCATTATTATTCAGTACTTTGTGTAGATAATTCTCACTCAGGTATACAGATGTATGAAGATCAGTGTTTCAATTATGAATGGTTACATACTTTCTGTTTCTTAGATTTTCGCACATTGCATTGGATCCGTGACACTGTTTGCATCTCTTCTTGGTGGGCACCTTGACCCAAGCAATGTCCGCTGCATCATGGCGTCACAAGTCGCGTTCACACCAGTGTTCAACAAGTTCAATAAGGTGTGGACTTTTGCCCCCAATAAAATCATAGTGTGTAACATAAAGTACTTGTAGTCTTGTACTTGTAATACATTGTACCATAACCCCTATTAATCTGATATCACTTTGATAGAGTGCCGCTTTGCTAGAGAATAGATATTTAATGGAATAATGAAAGATTATATGCAAGTATATGTGACTTTAATGAATTTTATCTGCATGTGTAGCTAATGGATTTTCGTTCGTATTTACGGTGCTTTTGCACACGTGCTGCTGCTGTGCCTCATAAATTGCACGTAATAATGATGATACCAAGGCTGATATTGAGGTCGTAATAACCATTATAGCTGAAGGCATGCTTGCATGGTCCTCGTGTGCTGGAATTACTGGGTGTTGATTCACTGGATGCGTACACAGACAAAGAAGCTGGCTGGATGGATAGAGCGTTCAACAAGTTGGTTGCAGGTGCGCAATTGCATGTTCATATATTGCTTGTTTGATTGTTGATTGTTGTTGATTGATTTTTTGCTCCACATCTCGATTCATATTACAAACTCTGTTCGATGCGGAAAAACTTTCTTTCAGTATATCCAATTGCTTTCATCATTTTTCCTCCTCAGTCGTTGTGTACTACAGTTTTTTCCATGAACCACCTAGTGTGAAATACCCAGACTCCCCCTTTCTAGCTGAACTCCTACACTACAGCTTCTTCTAATGAGACGTGTCGTGTCCGCGCAGGTGTCACCGCCCTGGCTGTCGATTATGACGAGATGTGTGGCAGCAGCGTGTGCCATCGCATCACGTTCTCGTACGGACTGCTGTGGGAGCACGCGCTCATGAACGAGGACACGCACGCCACACTGCACGAGCAGTTCGGAGCCGTCAACATGCGCATCATGCAGCAGTTGTCCAGGTGGGTAGCGCGCCCGGGAGGGTGGGGGAGGGGCGTGGCGGCGCGCACACGTCCACCGTCCGATTACAGCTGGCCGCTGACCACTCGGGCGATTGGACTCGTTTATTTGTTATTATTATTATTAAATCTTTATTGCACGTAATTCAATGCAAATACATGTACTGAAGACAGACTTTTCCATGGAGAAAACATCTGATAAATGCATTCAATGGGCGTTGACAATCTAAGCACGTGGATAAATTATGGGAACATTAAACGATGTGGTTAAGCACGTGTCAATTTAGGAGCGTGGTTTATTTAAGCAGTCGATGTCAGTCCTGGGGTAAAACTACCGTTCGCGTATTTGTGGACGTATTGAGGGTGCGGCATGCGTATCCTGTTCGTGACAGATTTACAGATTCCTGCCTATTTGACTTTGCTATTTACTCGATACGAAACTAGTGCGTTGATGAGAGTTGTCGATTTGTTCACTGACTCATTGTGCTGACTAGGCACAATGGTCGTTCTATAGAGCCCTGCAACAGATATCTGAAGTCAAAACTCAAAGTATTATAGCCAGCTATCGGTGCAGCACTGCTACTTTCTGTCAGGATTAGTGATAATACCACTTCTTGGCACTGTGTGTGTGTAACAGTAGGCAAACGGCTCATCATTTTCATCACGAATGCGTAATAAACACAAATCTCGAATTCCTAGCAGCGTCTCAATTCGCAAGCATCCCGGCATCCTTTGCCTGGCAACGGTTTCAGCGTGGCCTCCCTCCCCCCAGCTCAACCCCCCCTTTTTTTCTCAACACCCTCTTGTTTGCTTTTCCAGCATGCAGCGCCCGCCCGAGCGCCTGCTGGGAGCGGACGGCTCCGAGCGATACCTGCCCGACTTCGAGCGCGGACTGGAGTCGGACGCGTACCGCAAGCACATGCGGCGACTCGACGTTCCCATCGCGATGCTGTACGGCTCGGAGAACGCCGTCTTTGCCGAGGAGAACGTCGAGGTGACGCTGCGGCGTCTGCGGGAGGCGCACCCGCAGCAGACGTACGAGTACGTGCGGCTGGACGGCTACGGACACCTGGACGTCGTGTACGCGAGGGACGCGCCCGAGCGAAGCTTCCCGCGCATCGGCGAGTGGTTTGATCGGTTTGCCGAGTGAATGCTGGGGATCGAAGTGTCCCGAGTGGAACAGTAGTGGGTGTTGGGTTGAGAAGGAGGGAGGGGATGGAGAGAGGTAGGGGGAGTTGGGTGGAGAGAGGGGGGTGAGTGGGATGGAGAGAGGTAGGGGGAGTTGGGTGGGGAGAGGGGGGTGAGTGGGATGGAGAGAGGTAGGGGGAGTGGCGTGGAGAAAGGAAGAGCGGAGTGGGGATGGAGAGAGGGAGGGGCGAGTAGGATGCGAGAGTGGAAGAGATTATTAAGATGAGAAGGAAGATAGCGGCAGTTAGATAGAGAGAGTGGAAAAATAGCGAGAAGTGAAAGAGATACACAATGGAAGAGAGGGGAGAGGAAATAAAGGGCGTGAGAGGAAGATAGAGATTGTTAGAGCAGCGAAGGAAAAAATTAAACAGAAAATGAGAAAGATAAAAGGAGAAGAGAGAGAGAGAGAGAGAGAGAGAGAGAGACGAGAGAGAGAAGAGAAGGTGTGAACGCGAGAGGGGCCAGCACTGCGTGAGAAACCCCAACACTGTGACTAAATATGCACCCAGAATTGTAATACAGTGTATTTTCTTTATTATAATATTTTTTTAAACTACGCAACGCCACGAAGCGGCGCGACAACAAATGTTTGTATAATACATACTATTATATAATTATATATCTTCATTTAAATTTCGTTCATTATCAGCTAGGCATGTAATGTGCGCTACTTTATTAAGACTTCTACCCCGTATATCATAGACGTCGCTAGACTCATACTATTAATTAATATTAATATTATAATAACATAAATATATATAATAACTATTATATTATTTATATTCTATGTCATGCCCATGTCCTATTCGTCGTTGCTGTCTTCCCCAGTTCTTACGCAACGACCTAAGGAGTTTCACGCCCTCTCTAATACAGAAGTTTCGGAGAATAACATGGACTTAAATTTACGTTTTTAAAAGCGTGGTTAGTGACAGGCAGCCAAGTCCCTATCCCAATCCACACGCAGGCCTATTCCTTTTATTATCAGCTTCGAGAAGAAAAAATCCCGACATGCTTGCGATTTTTGTCGGTGTCAAAAAACATTGTCAGAAGTCTTATTCTAAGCCAAGTGAAGAAGTCAACAAGTAATGCGATTAATCAAGTTATTAATAATCAGCAAATTGTTTACTTAAATATGTGGACTAAACATGAACAGAAATTCTATTTAAACTACGCATTGGGTTTTAATATTTTAACTCTTATATGTAAAACGCTAAGAAACTAATTGATATGCACCTCGGACACGAAGGGGTAAAATTATTGCCTTTTGTGGTAATGTACAATGGAATATCCAAGCATCACATATAATCACACGAATAATTTTTGACATCAATTAAAATTATATACACGGTGCACGCAAATTTTATTGCTTTGTAATTTTCTATATCTGCGATTTGTATGGAAAATCGGGATTTATTTGGTCATTGTAGCTTGTATCGGTTGCCTGTTGAAAGTAAAACCAGGCACAGCTGCAACGATAGGTATATCTTCTTGCGCACAGACTATATTTTGCTGTGCATTTATTACTTTTGAATGGGATTTGTGGCAATATCTCAATGCAAGAGAGTTGAATACCTGTTGTCATTTTGGTCCAGAAACTCTTGCAAATTCGGTTACCTTCAATAAGAATACTGCCTGTCGAGAATCTTCCATAAGTACGTGATACAAAAACTACCTATACATGATAAGCCTTTGCCTAGCGCTGATCAGGAATATCACCATTACATACATTTTCTAAAAAATATGAACAGGACAGGTCTAACATGAATTTTTTATTTTAACGCCAATTCGTATAACCATGACAACAAAAGCACGCACGCACGCACAGCACGGCCGCACGCACCACGCACAACACACACCACACACACACGAACATCCACTGCTCGCACACATTCAATAATGCATTATGTTAAAATAATAACACTTGAACGCAGTCGTCGCAGGTTTTCATACATACACGTTCGACCAATCATAGATACTCATACAGAGTCGAATAATAATAGATATCTCTATTTTATATTCTTATAATATATAATATTATACATATGTATATATTCACTCCTGATAGCAATCATGTAAACGACGTATTGACATTTCTAACATTTGTATATGTTCAACGAATATGTTGTTTAAATTAGTCGCGAGAACAGCTGTGAAAACGTAACTAATAACGTTGCACCTTCGAGCGCAGCATCCTTCCAAGACGCAAGCCTCGTCCGAGGATATTTTTCATATCTAAAACCGTGCCATGAAGTTTCACGATTTTTCATAGCATAATAATGGAGACGGTAGATTAATGCGCGCAAACATTGCAAACGAAAATATATACTCCTAGTTACCATGAACCTTAAGCGCAGTCAAACATGAAACCGGACACGTTCGAACGTATTGTCATGCCTTATGTGTTCCGAAGATGAATTCCGCTGAAAATAGCTGAAACCATTCGCATGCCATCATTCCATCCATCCATCCATCCTCACAGCCACCCATCCATCCATCCACCCATCATCCACATCCCCTGTCATCACCCATCCGTCCGTTTCTATCCATCCACATCCGTCGATCCTCTATCTATCATCCATCCATCCGTCCATCCATCTATCTATCTATCCATCCATCCATCCGTCCATCCATCTATCCATCCATCCATCCATCCATCCATCCATCCATCCATCTATCCATCCATTCATCTCTCCAATTCATCCGTCCATCCATCCGTCTATCCACCCGTCTATCTATCGATCTAGCTAGCTATCTATCTATTTATCTATCTATCTATCTATCCATCCATCCATCCATCCATCTATCTATCTATCTATCTATCTATCTATCTATCTATCTATCTATCTATCTATCTATCTATCTATCTATCTATCTATCTATCTATCTATCTATCTATCTATCTACAGATAAAAGCCCAAGATGTATTGCCATAAGTCGCCTTCTGATTGGTTGAAGTCCGGCGTAGCTTGTCATCTTGCTGTCCACCCGGAAATATGTAAGACATACTGGGGCGGTGTTCGTAAGACATTGCTGTTCGTGACAGAACAAAGGCAGTACAATACTTCAAATAAGCAACAAGAACCTCCTTTACTATTATAGTCCCTTTATTTAGTATTTTAAAAGATCCCATTTTAGAGTATATAGTCAGTCCTCTTATATGGAGTCTCCTATACCTATGCATATACAAAACGTCTCTACATTTATGAGAACGTCCCGCCATCTATCGGTAAAAGTGAAATAAACTGAAAAACTCGAATAGGCGGAGGTTTGGTGATGGAGTCTGAACAAAACGAGGATATGAAAAGATACACAGATATTTATAGGTGGCGAGGACGTAATAAAAAAGAGGGAATCCGAGCAGATGGGTGGAGAGGGAGAGAGTGAGTGAGTGAGTGAGAGAGCGAGAGCGAGAGAAAGAGAGAGAGCGAGAGAGAGAGAGAGAGAGAGAGAGAGAGAGAGAGAGAGATGGCGCGAAAGAGAAGATCATGTTCGCGAGAGATAGAAGACCGCGAGTGCAGGAAGGGAATACGTTGTAGTTTCCATTGGTACTTATATACTACCTAGCACGTTGTGCTATCATGTTAGACGGATCCCTGTACGTTTTTAGACAAAAACGACGATGAGCGCGTACGTCTAACTGCACCGTCTGCTGAAAGATGAGGCGGTAAGCTTTGTGTGAAATCCGTCAATTCCGTCAGTGGACACTGGAAACGCGCCAGTTTTTCGGAGTGGTGCAATCCAGGAGATACCACATTTAATGTAACTCTTTGATGACCAATACAAACGCGACCTTATCATCTGCGACTTGAAGATACACCTTGATGATACCCGTGAACCACGCCTCTTGAACGCGAACAGCTCATCACGATCTGCATCTGAACATTGAATTTACGAATATATATGTTCAAAGCAATTCGGTCCACGACTGAGCGTTTCCTGTCCAGGAATTGAGCTGCATATCAACATATCTACTATGATCTACCTCTCTACGTACGCCCCTTAAATAATAGCTCCCTGGTTGGTTCTGCCCCATCCCAATGACTCTAGCTCTAGCCTGTAGGTTCTCATATTTCCCTCGCCTCAGTCTGATCTCTGCTTCTTTATTTTCGTACCCTTCTCCTATTATTATTCTCTATAGTGTTTTCCCCCTTCTTATTCGAACTCGACTCGACTTATATCATCGAACTTATATCAATACGCACGTAAGATTCTCTCGGTAATTCTCTTGCCCATCCATCTCAGTGCGAGAGCACGGTAAGTGTAATTCTGACATTATTAAAATAATAACAGGTATATGAGAAATTCTATACATGATAGCTTGCTAGGCTGATAGAATAACCCATACATACATTTTCTAAAAATATGAACAGGACAGGTCTACATGAATTTTTATTTTAACGCCAATTCGTATAACCATGACAACAAAAGCACGCACGCACGCAC